TGGGCTCAAGCGTGGCAACAATTGTGAGGTTGGCCCAGGATCAGGCAGTGTTTTGTTCTGTTGTGCATAGGGTCTCTATGAGTTGGTGCTGACTCGATGGCACCTAACAGCACATATGCATGTGAAAGCTGGACACTGAATAAGGAAGAGTGAAGAAGAATTGATGCATTTGAATTATATTAAATATGCCATGGTCTGTCAGAAGAACAAACAAATCTGTCTTGGAAGAAGTACAGACAGAATGCCCCTAAAACATATTATGTTATCAAGATAGAGCAGTCCCTGGAAAAGGACATCATTCTTCTTGGTAAAGTAGGTGGTCTGTGAAAAAGAGGAAGAGCCTCAATGAGATGGATTGACATAGGGGCTTCAACAATGGGCTTAGACTTAGTAGCGTTTATGAGGATGGTCCAGGACCTGGCAGTGTAGTGATTACAAGTTGGGATGCTAACTTCAAGGTCTGTAGTTTAAATTTACTAGTCTCTCTGTGGGAGAAAGATGAGGCTTTCCACTCTCATAAAGATTTACAGCCTCGGAAACCCTTTTCAGGGTTGCTATGGGTTGGAACCGACTTGATGGCACTTAACAACAACAACATGGTAGTCTGGAGTCCTGGTGTGGCGCTCTGGGTTAATACATCAGACTGCAAAGCCGTTTGAACTGCAAGGTCGGCAGTTCAAGCTCACCAGCTGCTCCTTTGAAACCATAGACAGGGTCGCTATGGGTCAGAACTGACTCGATGGCACTTAACATCAACCACAACATGGTGTTTTTAATTGCCTCATATGCGTGTGAAAGTTGGACAATGAATAAGGAAGACCATAAAAGAATTGATGCATTTGAATTATGGTGTTGGAGAAGAATATTAACAATACCATGGACTGCTAGAAGAACAAAGGTATGTATCTCTGTTGAAAAAAGTACAGCTGGAATGCTCCTTGGGAGCCAGGATGGCCAGACTTTGTCCCTCATTCAGACATGTTTTCAGAGGAACCAGTCCCTGAAGAAGGACATCGTGCTATAAAGATGAGGGTCAATGAATAAAAAAGGAACCCCTCCTCCCCCAGTGAGGATTGGCACAGTAGCAGCAGCAATGGGCTCAAACATAACAATTGTGCGGATGGTGCAGGATCGAGCAGTGTTTCATTCTGTTGTACATAAGGTCACTGTGAGTCAGAACCAACTCGATAGCACCCAACAACAACATGGGATAGAATGGGACTGTCTCACAGGGTTTTCAAGGCTGCAAGCTTTTTGGAAGCAAACTTCCAGATCTTTCTCCTATGGAGTGACAGTGAGTTCAAACTGCCAACCTTTTTGTTTTTTAAAGTTTTTATTGTGAATTGAGTGAAAATTTATAGGGCAGATCATCAGTTTTACATTCAACAAATCATATACTTTGTTTCATTACAATGATTATAATCCCCTCCATGT